GTGGGTTTGGTGTTGTATTTTGTTTGTTTGTTTGTTTTTGTTTTTTTTTGTTGTTGTTGTTGTTTTAGAGTTTCGCTCTCAAAAAAAAAAAAATTTAAAGAAAACGATTAAAACAAGTTGCAAATGGCTCTGCCAACTCCCAGCCACCATCCACCTTGCTGGGAACCGCTCTGGCCCGACCTCCGGCACGCTGTTTTTGGAAGAGCCGGCGTGATGCTCTGCCCCGGCCGCGCCTTCCTCCACGGAACATCAATTATTGCTTAATTCTCCCTTCCCATACTGGCCTTTAGGGTTATTTACATTTCTTTGGCTTGACTTGAACTCAACAGTCTGGCACTTTCTCTCCAGCTGCCAACACGGAGCCGCTGCCGCGGGGGGTGAGGAGTGCGGGGGAAGAGGCCACCACGAGGAAAACACGGGTGGGCTCCTGCTGGTCGAGCGAGTTGTGCTTCTCCCAGACGAAACAGGACAACTTGTGTTGGGCACAGACTCATCCGGAGTCGATCCGCCGCTCCCCGGGGATCCCCGTCGGAATAATCCTCCCAGTGCCACGGTCCCCACGGTCCCCACGGCCTCGGCGTGCAGGGAGCGGGGCAGGGCCTGGGGGAAGGCGCTGTGGACTCCCCCAGTGCAGGGCAGGGAGCCCCATCCTCCCCCCGCAAAAAAACGCCCCGAGGGCGGGCGGGCAGCCTCGGTCCTGCCCCCAACCTCCCGCCGAGGCGCTCAGACCACGAACTCGGGGACTTCGTCGTGGGTGAGGTCCAAGGAGAAGTATTTGCTGGTTCTTTTGACGGGGAAGCTCTCCTGGATGTTGATGCACTGCTGGGCCAGGCAGCCGTTGCAGTAGAGCCCGTCCTCGTCCAGCCCGTGGGCGCAGCCGAAGGTGTAGCTCTGCGCCGTGTCCTGGCACAGGTTGGCCAGCTGCAGGAAGTCCTTCTGGTAGAGCCGGATGTCGTCCAGGCTCAGGCTGTGCCGGTCCGTCGACGTCTTCGGTTTCCTGCACGACGTCTGGGGGAAAAAAGCAAAGAGGTTTCAGGAACCCTCCAGGAAGCCAAGGGAAGCCCGAAACCCCCGGTGGCAGCCCCACCAAAAAAAAAAAACCCCACGGCCACGCACCTGGGGCAGGGAGTCCGTGCTCTGCCCCCGCAGCTTCACCACCGTCTCCGAGGAGCTGGAGGTGGAGGAGCTGATCTCCTTCACGATAAGTCCTGCAGGGAGAAGGGAGGAAGAAGAGGAGGGTGTGAAGGTTATTTTGAGGTGCCTCAGCTCTCTTGGGATCCAGCCCTGCTCCCTCTGGGGCTCGTCCCCTTCTTTGGGGCAAAGGCACCCCTCTGTTCAACGGGGTGCCACTGCCTAAAAAGCATCCCAAATTTGCCCCCAAGAACTGCATCCAAAGCCATCCCCAGGGGGCCTGGTACCTCAGAAACCTCCTAGTAGCTCCCAGCACGGAGCTGGAAATGTAAGTGACTCCCTGGGTGCAGGCACAGCTCCAGAGAAGATCACTGAGTCCAACCATTCCCCCAGCACTGCCAAAGCCACAACTAACCCATGTCCCCAAGAGCCACATCCACATGGCTTTGAAATCCCTGCAGGGATGGGGGACTCTACCACTTCCCTGGGCAGTCTGTGCCAGGGCTGGACCACCCTTTCCATGTGGAAATTTTTTTCCCTAATATCCAATCTAAACATCCCCTGGCACAACTTGAGGCAGTTTCATCTTTTTTTTTTTGCCCCATCTCTCCTTCAACCCACTCGGGCGAACGGCTTTTCCCGGTGTCCCAAATGGACACTCTGGGCTCATTCCACTCTGATAAACACCAGATAATCACAGAATTGACCTGGGTTGGAAGGGACCTTGAACACCCTCTCACTCCAAGCCTCAGAGACGTGACTTGGACTGGGGAACTGGAAGCGAAAGCGGCCGCCGCCTTACCCGAGTGCCCGTTGAACTTGCGGGACAGCAGCATGTCCTCGGTGATGTAGACGCACATGTCGGGGCTCACCTCCATGTCTCCAGCCTGCTCCAGCTCCCGGGGGTCATCCACCAGCATCTCTATTTCTGCCCGAGACAGGAAGGTGGGATGAGCCCCTGACATGACTCTCCCAGCCCCGACCAGAGACTCAGGCTGGGAAAAGCCCAAATTGGTGTCTCACCGTCGTCCTGGGAGTCCTCCTCCAGCCGGTCCTTCCCGCCGCTCTCCACGCCGGAGGTGTGGGAGCTGCCGTGGCTGGTCATGGAGCTGCAGGTCTTCAGCTTGCGGTGGGCACCGGCGCCGGAGAAGCCATCGTCGGGCCCCATCTCCCTGGGCTTGGGGTCGGCCTCGATGCCAGAGGTGTGGGAGCTGCTGTGGCTGGCAGTGGAGTGCCGGGAGAGCCGCTTGTGCCGGATGCTGCCGGCGCTGCTGCCGCTGGCGCGGGAGCGCTTCTCCAGCTGCTCCATGTCCAGGTCGAGGGTGTCGCTGATGTAGGATTCCCGGTACTGCTTCTTCTCTGCAGGGTAGGACAGTGTCAGCAGCCTGCATCCCGATATCCCAATCCTCCAGGGCGCCCTGGATTCCCTGGAAGGGCGTGGGCCACGCCGGCACACTGGGGCGCCCAGGGGAGCTGTCACCCCAGCCCAGCGTGGGGACACACCTGGAGCCAGCCTTGCCCTGGTGGCATTTAGGGATGGACCTCAAACTTGCTGTGCTCTGTGCTCCTGTCTCTCAAACGGGGAGGAGGAGGAGGAGGAGGAGGAGTAAGAGTTGAGGAAGAGGAGGAAGAAGAGGGGAAGGAGAAAGAAAAGTAGGAGATGCAGGAAGAGGAGGAAAAAAGAGAGGAGGACGATGAAGATGAGAAGGAAGAAGACGAGGAGGATGAGGAAGAAGAAGAAGCTGAGGAGTAGGTGGAAGAGCAAGCAGATGAGGAGGATGAGGAGGAAGAATAAGATGAGGAGGATGAGGAGAAAGAAGAGGAGGAGGGAGAGGGGAAAGAGGAAGATGAGGAAGACAAAGGAAGATGAGAAGGGAAAAGAGAAGAAAGAGTAAGGAGGGAAGCAGGAAGAAGAAGAGGAGGAGGAAGAGGAAGAAAAAGAGGAAGAGGAGAAAAACAAAAGGAAGATGAAGATGAGGAATAAGATGAGGAGCAAAAAGATGTGGAGGATGAGGAGGAAGAAAAACAAGAGTAGGACATGGAGAACAAATAAGAAAAGGAGGAGGAAGGGGAAAAGGAAGATGAAGAACAGAAAGAGGAAGATGAGGGGAAAGAGGAGGAAGAAGATCTGATGCTTTCACAAGAGCTTTCTAAGCTTGGAGATGGGATGAGAGGCACTGGGAAATGCTGCAGGGGGGCACTGGGAGGAACTGGGCCATCAGGAATGGCAGCAGGACTTGGATCCTGTGTCCCTAAGTATTATCCCTTAGCAGAACTTGTATCCCTTAGTGTCTGTGAGATTATCCTGCTGGGCAGGGGTGGGGTGTGGGATGCACAGTCCAGGGGGATATGGGGACAGCCACCCTCCCGACACCCTCCCAGCCAGGGGGCTGGCACACCAGGCACTTTGAGAGGCAGAAATACCGGGTGGGAGCCTGTCATGGGTGGGATTTGGGAGCCTGGCACGGGGGGGGAACCTACCCTCGTTCTCCTCCAGGCGCCGGACCTGGCGCAGGACGGGCTGCAGGTTCATGTAGAGCCGGTGGCTGCTGCTCAGCAGCTGCAGCAGGTGCCGGGAGCGCAGCGGGCACCCCGTGTAGTAAATGAGCTTCCTGGCAGAGGGCAGCCCGTCAGGCAGGATCTCGAACTTCTTGCCCTGCGTGGGAGAAGGGAGGGATCAGCCCCGAGGAGGGAAATGCTCCAGTTCTCGCCCCGTCCTGCTGCAGCCCACGGTTAACCCCACGGATTGGAATCACCCGCCTGAGGTCTGGGCAACTGCACCCCATGCCCAAATCAGAGCCCAGGAGATGCTCTGCCTCTGGATCACAGAATCAGAGACGGGTTTGGGTTGGAAGGGATCTTAAAGACTACCTAGTCCAACCCCCTGCTGTGGGCAGGGACACCTTCCGCTAGCCCAGGTTGCTCCAAGCCCCATCCAGCCTGGCCTTGGACGCTTCCAGGGATCCAGGGGCAGCCACAGCTTCTCTGGGTAACCTCTGCCAGGTCTCACTATCCTCACAGCCAAGAATGCCTTCCCAATATCCCCTCTATCCCTGCCCTCTGGCAGTGGAAAGCCATTTTTCTTTTTCCCGTCCCTCCATGCCTTGTCCCCAGTCCCTCTCCAGCTCTCCTGGAGCCCCTTTAGGCCCTGCAAGGGGCTCTCAGGTCTCTCTGGAGCCTTCTCTTCTCCAGGTGAACCCCCCCAGCTCTCTCAGCCTGGCTCCAGAGCAGAGGGGCTTCAGCCCTGGGAGCATCTCCGTGACCTCCCCTGGACCTGCTCCAACAGCTCCACATCCTCCCTGTGCTGAGGAACCCAGAGCTGTAAGCACTGCCCCGGTGGGAATGGTGGCACTCACCACAAAAACCAGTTTCCCCACGTTTGTCCACGGGAAGTCGTAGAGCAGCTGCTTTTCTTCATCCAAGTTCTGCAAAAGGAGGAGAGGGAGCCCTGACTGAGGGTGCTGGCAGGGGCAGGGAGCAGAGCTGAGCCATCACTCTCCCTCAGCCACCTACCTGGAAGATCTGGATGCCCCGTGTTGTCAGCCCCAGAGTCAGGGAGGCCTCCACTTCCCTTTTGTCCTAAGGGGATAAAAATCAGGTGGTTTTAAACACACAATTTGCAGCACGAAGTGGAGAAATCGGCCCCAGCTCAGCCCAGGGATCCTCCTGCAGTCATTCCAGTCATCATTCTATGATTAACGTGCCAAATTAATAATCTAATCATACTGTGAGGGTGATGAGGCCCTGGCACAGGTTGCCCAGAGAAGCTGTGGCTGCCCCTGGATCCCTGGAAGTGTCCAAGGCCAGGTCAGACTGGGCTTGGAGCAACCTGGCTTAATGGAAGGTGCCCCTCGTGGAACGAGTTGATCTCTTAACGTCCCTTCCAACCCCAACCAGTCCTTGTGCTCTCCCAAAAGCATCTTCTTTTTAACTTCAGGATGCTACAAAAAAGGTTTATGAGGCACCATCTCCCAGCAAACCACCTGCTTTGTTCCCAGGAGAGAGACACAGCGTATGACTCTTGGGGATGGGGCTGTGCAGGACTAAGGGCTGCACTCAGTGATCTTTGTGGGTCCCTTCCAGCTCAGCATATTCAGTGATTCTGTGACGTGTTTCTTGGAGAGGGGATCGCCAAAAATAAGATCCCAGAAACCCCAGAACCTCCTGGATGGGGCTCACCTTGTAGAGCCTGTAGTAGTGCACGGCCACGTCGTCGAGCCGGACGGCCTCCTTGATGTACTTGAGATGGGCTTCGGAGGCCGTCAGGGCAAACTGGTCCTTGTGCATGTTGGGGACGTGCTTCAGGATGTAGTCCTTGCCCCTCTTTGCAACCACCTGTTTGGGAGGAGAGGAGAATTTTGTCCAGCTGCTCCGTGCTCGCTCAGGGCCGGATTCCGCCCCGGAGCTCCCGGGCAGCGGTGATTTCAAGGGAGAAAGGGGAAATGGGAGCAATATGATTTGTTACAGAGACCTGCAGGCAAAAATAAAACAGATACAGCAGTCAGCTGCTTCTCTCCAGCAGGATTTCCCACTGGGAAGTGCATGTGTGCTCCCTGTGCCCAGCCCAAGGAGCTTACACCACTGGTGACACCTGTACCGGGCCGGGAGAGCCATGCCCTGGTCCCCTGTGTGAATGGGGACACAGACCCAGGGCCATCACTCCTCATGTGTGAGAGAACGAGAAGATGGGAAATTTTGGAAAAAAACAAACAAGACAGAGGTTGGAAAGGAGAAGAGAAGGGTTCAAAGAGGCCTTTGAGAACCTAAAGGGGCTCCAAGAGAGTTGGAGAGGGACTTGGGACAAGGGTCTGGAGGGACAGGACGCAGCGAATGGCTTCTGAATGACAGAGGGCAGGGTTAGATGGGATAATGGGAAGGAATTCTTGTCTGTGGAGGTGGTGGGGCCCTGGCACAGGCTGCCCAGAGAAGCTGTGGCTGCCCCTGGATCGCTGGAAGTGTTCCAGGCCAGGTTGGGCAGGGCTTGGAGCAACCTGGGCTAGTGGAAGGTGTCCCTGCCCACAGCAGGGGGTGAAACGAGATGGTCTTGAAGGTCCTTTCCAACCCAAACCGTTCTGGGATTCTATGATTCTGTGACACCAGTTCCAACAGGGCTGCACAGCCGGAGGGGCTACACCTGATGGTGGTGGGGTGATGCCGTGCTGGCACACGGCACACAGGGAATCCCTGGCACACAGGGAATACCCCCTGAGCATTCCCAGCAGCACACAGGGAAACAGCCCCCCTCCAGCACAGGAGCTGCTCCAGCCCCACACCAACCCCGACTCTCCCCCCCCCCTTCCCGCAGCTATTTCCAGCCCTGCAGTTGTCCCAGGTTATTAATAACCAGGACTGATCTGGAGACAGGGATGCAGCCGGAACGGCGGCCGCCTGGGAACCCTCCAGCTCCGAGCAGGGGCCGCAACCACGGAACACTCACCCAGGCGGGGAAATAGGCCTCGGGTTCGAAGTACTTCCCGTAGTGCTTGTTGCGCTTGAAGTCTCCCAGGTCGGCTTGGAGGGCGAAGGCGGTGAGCAGGAAATAGGCCTCTTCCCGCAGGACACACTGGGAATGCAGCACCTGCTTCCGCAGGTGCCAGTAGTAGTAGTAACGTGCGGTCCGGTCACTGCGGGAGCAGGGGACAGAGCGGGGAGAGAGGGCAG